TAAGTTAGGAGGCGGAACTCACTGCTGGAGAAAAAACTGAAGAGGAAGAAGGACGGTCATCTCAGAGCTTGAGGAGGCTAGGAGAGAACCATCAGAGCAGACGCAGGGGCTGAGGAAGCCAGCAGGGGGAGCAGAGGAGTAGATCCCGGCGTGATGAAGGCTTTGGTGTGCTGCCTTATGTATGATACACACATTATTATTATTGGGAATAACCACGTATCGGAGTGCAGTTCTCAGCCTGGAGAATGGGAAATGGAAAGGACCAGAGATTCAGAGAAGGCAACTTACCCAAGGCCACACAGCCTTCAAGGCCAAATAGAACCTCCTAGGCCCTTCCTGCCACACTCACCCAGCCCCACCTACACCTCTGTTGCAATAGAGGACCCCACTGTAGTGCCCAGGAGAGCAGATCTAGGGCACAGTGCCAGGCCCGATGAATGTCCTTCATGCTGTTTTCCAGCAACAGGCTGCGATTAGGCCTATTTATAGGGGACTGGTCCCTTAATATTCGGCCTGGCATGTTTCTTGCCAATCAAATCAGTGCCGTCCGCAGTGTGATTCCTGCTTTAGTGGCATCCGGGGGAGGAGTTAATTCAACCCAATGTAAATAGACTCTGCCCTCGCCTTGCAATTTCAGGAGTATTTTTCCCTCCTGTCCTGCACCCCCACATGCACCTCCTTCCTTCTGGCTCCCTAAGCTGTATCCTGGGTGAGCAGGGCCTGGACACTCCTATATGTAGAGTCACTAGCCGCTGCCCAGTCTGTCTCAGAAGCAGTCCTCGAGTTCCTCAGGGTTAAAGTGGGAAAAACCCATGTGTGCACATTTGCTGTGCTTTTTGAAATCTGGGCATCATTTGTTGATTCAGGCAATTCTCTCACTGGCACCGCCCTGCCCATGTATCCCTGTTTCCAGCTTCTTGTTTTCATCTGTACCCAAGGTGGGGAGCTGACCTGAGATCAATGTATGGACGCGGTTCCTGGCAGGTACCAGGCACCAGGCATCTTATGGGGGTGAGGAAACGTTGCCCCTTTTCCGAGTTCCCCCATTGTCCCTACCAAGTCCCCAGTCCCTGGTCCTGCCCTCTCCCTCCCTTATACACTCAGCAGGATCAATGAATCATATCTCCTATAAGATCCTGGCCTCCCACCAAATGCTCTGCTGCCACTCAGCCCCACCTGATCAGAGGGCCGCCCCCTGTACTGGGAAGTCCTTTCTCCAGTCCCAGCAACACATCCTCTGGGAGCAGTTCGTTTGGGGATTCCGGGTCCTGGGGGACACAGCTGGCTTCCCTGGGTAGGAGGGGACAAAGTGAGAGCCCAGCTTGGAAGGTTTTGCTCCTGAGAGCCTGAGAGCTCACCCCCTTCTGCCCCACTTCGCCTCCTGGTTTCATGTGGTGGCTCTGCTTTCGTAACTCATGCTCTTCCTCACACAGAGGGGCCTCATCCTTCACTCTTTCCTGCAGCCAGAAAATATTTACGCAACAGTGCTTACATGGAAGGCACTGTGCAAATTACTGTAGATCCAGTGATGAGTAAGGCAGCATCCCTGTCCAACTGGTGTATATATTCTTGCAGAAGACACAGACCTAAACAACCAATTAATGATCAGTTATTCAATTACAGTCATGATAAGGCCTATTTATAGTATCTTGTAATCACTAATCTTCATGTATGTTGGACCATGGCCCACCACTGATCTGAGTGTGTTAACTCATGTAACCATTGCCACATTTTATGAGCAGGCACTGATGTTATCTCCATGTTATAGATGAGGAAACTGAGGCACAGAAAGACAGAGACTTGGCCAAGTGGCCTAAGCCAAGTATTGTGGCCTTGGGTTCTGTGGAGGGGAGATGAGGTGCTATGAGGCTCATCATGGGAGGCCTGGCTTGGTCTCAGGGGTCAGGGAAGGTGGATGTGAGGAAATGGCATTTGCAGTAAAATTTGAGGGTGTAAGTCAGGAAGAACATTTCAGAAAGAAGGAAGTGCATGAGCCACAGCCTTGAGGTGGAGGACCTGAAAGGAAGCCAGGGTGGCTGGAACAGGGGCCCGAGCTGGAGGACTGCAGCTTCTTGTACTGGTGGCGCTGACCTCGCACAGTCCTTAGGCTCCAGTGACTTTTTACTCAGTGTTTATCTAACTGGAGTGAATAATGGTTGCTGTTTCTTGGCAAAGGTCTCGGGGTTGTCAGGTACACAGGTTGTTTTCGGCCATAAGCAACCTGAAATGAGGCTTCCTCTTCTTCCCTGGAGCCAGGCTGTGCCTCACATGAGGGATCCCAAAGTGAAGTGTGTGACCGCCTGACCCAGGTCACCCCCACCCAGCCACATCCCTGGTTATTGCCAGACCTGGAGTCCCTGCTCCTTCACTGTGCAGCCTCCTCTTCTGTCACCAACTGTAGTCAGGGGGTGACAGGGATGAGGCAGCAGTCAGGGGACTTGCAGGGGTGAGACAAAGGAAACGACAGGACATGGTGACAGACTGGGAACAAGAATGAGGGAAAGGGGAGAGTCATCGATGACTGAGAATAAGGTGGGAATGCCGACACCGCTCCTCCTGCCCCTCTCCTGTGGCAATGGACAAGCATGTGGGCTTTTTCAGCCGGGACGTGACCAACTTGGAACCTCCCCCCACTTAGATGTGCTTCTGCTTGGAAATCTGCACAGAAGAGACGTGGACAGCTTCCTCCTTTCCCCCTGTCCTCACTTCCTCCATCTTTCCTTCTCCCATGTTTTCTCTACTGATTAGCATCTGGTGACCCCCAAGGTTACACAGCACTGGATCAGCTGCCTGCATAATCAGCAAATCATTCTTAATTATCCCAGAACAGAGAGGATAAAGGTAAAGGCAAAAGCCCAGGTTCAGGATGTGCTTCTCCGCAGTCATGACAGAGGCAAAGGAAGAAGCAGTGAATCTGGGTCAGGAGTCCCTTCTCCCCAGAAGCCTCTAGGCCAGCTGCTGGTCTGACTCCGAAATCCACCATCCCTCAGCCACCCAGCCCTCCCAGGAGAAGCTGAAGTCCTTTCATGTGTGTGTGAGCACCAAGTTGGAGCCTGAGGATGGCATGGAGGAGGGGCTTGGGGGTCCCCCCAGGTGTCCCTACTGCTCTTCACCACCCCAGAGATCCTGCATTGCCAGAAAACAGGGTCGCAGGGCTTGGGTGCGAGACATGGCTTAATGGGGACCCAGGGCATCACACTCAGGTGCAGCAGAGGCAGGAGCCAGGAGGTGACCAGGGTAGCTTGGCTCAGTGGCCTGGGACCTCTCAGTGCACAGTGTCCCTGATGATGTGGAAGAGATAGGTCAGGAACACGGTCCCGGGACAGCAGGTGCTGGCTTGCCCGACCTCCATGTCATCCCTGTAGGTACAAGAAGGATGTCTTCCTGGATTTGCTGGAGCTGTTAATAAAGACCCACATGATGCTGAGGGCAGAGACAGAGGAGGAATTGTTTGGTGCTGCCTTGCCCATCAGTAAGAGAGAGCAGCTGGAGCAGCAGGTGGAGGAGGGCACAGGGATGGGGGCAGGTGCAGGGGCCCCTTCTCCAGGAGAGGCTCTTTTGAACCCCTTATACCACCACAGTTGTGCAGGCTGCACACGAGGCCTCACTGGCTGTCCTGCAGGCCCCTGTCACCTCTCACATCCCCACCTAATCCTGCAGATCTAGAGAACTACATGCCAGACTTGGGCCAAGTGCCCAAGATTGATGTACCATCCCACCTGCCTGAGCTGCCTGGCATTGCAGACCTCATGTAATGTGCCATCTTAGGCCCCAGCATCATACACTCTACTCTGGCACCAGGTTCAAGCCTTTCAACCCAAGTGAGCTGGGTGCTAGGATGGGAGCTGGGCTCCCTGCTCAGATACCTCCTTCCCTAGGTACCCCACACTTTCTTCCACTTCCTTTTCAGACCTAGAAGATGGAACGCTAATAGCACCCCTCATCTCCCCCAGCTGCTGCAGTGCTGGTCAGGGTACCCTCATCCCCAGCCCAGGCGGCGGCCACTGCAGTCCAAGGTGGCAGGCAGGATGACAGCAGCATCTCCTTCAGGTGGGAGCAGCTCTCTGAGGCCACCTCAGTCTCATTTCTGGACCCCTGGCAGATTTTCTGTGTGGTTAAGTGGTCAGAAATCCTTAATTTTCTTAATAGTTCTTATTTCTTGTTCTACTTGCTCATAAAATAGTGATTTTCAAAGTGTAGAGCCCTGGAATTTTCACCTCTAAATAGAGGGAGCCTGGACAAGTGTGGCCCTGAGGCCCCCATTCCTAGTTAAACCAAGGAGGAAAAAGGGTCTAATAACAAGGACACTACAGGGAGCAGGAACAGGGAACTGGAGGACAAATGTGACTGATCCTTGCACCCCCCTCCACAGCTTTCCTGTTGCAGTGAGAACCATAAGCCAAGGTGGGGAGCTGATGTAGGATCTCTTCAACAAGCTGGTCCTGAGATGCAAGGGTAGGAGGTCGGACAGCTGTCTGCCGCAGGCTGGGGCATTGTTAATTCTCTTTTGTCTTTTTCTTCCCATGTTTAAGTCTCCAGGGGCTGGGGGAACGACCTCTCGGCCTTTTCCCTCCAGCCTTTTCACCTCTGGGGCTGGTGTGGGGCTGGGACCAGCCTTAGCCTGTGTGTCAGACTCTAAACCATCTCTGCCAACCCCAGCAGCCCTACAGGCAGAGGAAGAGGAGGACAACTGGAAATCCTAGGGGGCTCCACCACGCTTTCCTTCACCAAACTCAAACTCTAGCTGTGGCCCTGATGTAGACATAGTCAGAATGGGCTCCTCAGCCCTGCTGCCCTGGAAGGGGCAGGGATGGAAATATCCCAGGTGCATGTGGAGACCACCTTCAAGGAGCAGGAAGCTGGCATCTGGGGCTGGAGCTTCTGTTGCCTGTGCTGCTTCGGGGGATGGCTCCACCCAGCCCCTGCACCGGTGCACTCTTTGATTCCCTAAGAGACTTCCAGAGAAAATAGCAGCACAAATCAATGAAGAACTGAGCAGAAACCAACAGTGCACTTTTAATTAAGGACCTGAAGCTGTGCAGGATGCAAACACCTGGGATCAGTGGCTTTCCTCCTGCCCTTTTGGTCTCTAGGCGATGGGGGCAGAAGATCCCAGCAGACCACGGCCCCTCTCTCTGGGGTCAGAGGGAGAAGACAAGTGGTCAGCAGGGGCAGCTGTTGCAGGTGGGAGGGACATTGTCCCACAGGAAAAAAGGTCTCAGTGACAACATGAGGTCTCTAGAAATAGTCACGTGGAGAGTCCAATGGCCCTTGGCATCATTCCTGGTGTCGGGGTAGAAGGTGTCTTAGAGTTTGCTCCAGTGGTTGAGAGGGAGGGAGGTGCTACTGACTTGGAGGAACTGGAACCAAGTCAGGGACATACAAATCCAGGCAGGGCTGTGGGGCCGGTTAGGAGCAGGGCTATAGGTCTTTTCCCTTGGAAAAGACACTGCCAGGCTTTGGATCCAGACCAGGAGGCTTCATAGCCAAATCCAGCAGCAGGGGTCCAGATAACATCACAAGGAAGATCAAAAAGGTATGGTGGGGGCATCCCAGCCTCTGGAGGGGCCAAGAGATGCCAGCAGGGAAGGCCCGGCTGTATCAGCCCTGGGAGTGACACCACTCCCACCCTCCACACACAAGAGAAACTCAGGAAGATAGGGAAGGTGACAAGCCCCTGGGCAGAAGCCCTGTGGCCACGGGATCATTTTAAATTGAGCCCAGAGAGTGAGCTGTCCAGGGCAGCTAACTTTGGCTAGAAAAAGGAGAGGCAGACGGGCCTGTTCCATCTCACCTCTAAGAAGGTAGCAGGACGGAGATGCCCCAGTGAAGGCCACACAGTTGCCACAGCCTCCTGCAGAGACCAGGCAGGAAGCCTGCCTCTCGGCCATGCAGGATGGAAAGAAAGATTCTATTCCAGGAGGGAGCTACCCTGGAAGGCCCCAAGGACAGCCAGGACCCACTGTTTCTTCAGGATTCCCCCATTTTCTCCTGCGGGAGCTAATGCCTGTGTCTGGGTCCTGGCAGCACTCGACTCCACCCTTTCTCCTGGGTTTCACCTTTATGGCAGGATCCCTGCAGACCAGGCCCATGACAAACACCATCTCCAGTGTGTAGGGCAAAGGAAGGGTGCAGCGCCAGGCAGTGGTGTGGCTGCCCGTCAGAAAGAGGCCGCCTTCTCCCGGTGAAACTGGGCAGACAGAGGGCAGTGAGAAATGCGATCTCGGCGCAGGGAGGTTCTCGGGAAAGGAAAAGGCTGGACTGACCTTCTGCACGGCAGCAATGGCAGGGCCAAAGGCAGCTTTGACCTCCACGCGGGCTTGGATCCAGGCCGGCAGCTTGGCCAGGACAGGGGGCCGGGCGTATCGCTGGTCCAGGAGCACTATGCTGGCAAAATCCCTCTGGTGCCTGATGGCTCTGCCTGCATAGGAACAGAGGCTGGGGCTCCGAGTAACACCTGCTTCCCCTACAGCACATTCCCATGGCGTACCCCTCCCCCTCCTCAGACTCATGCAGGAGACAAGCAGGCAACCCCGCTTTCCTGTTCTCCCCTTTTAAAGCCCCCATCTGTCCACCCAGTCAGAGGCAGCCAGGCTCACCTATGGACTGGTTGACGGCCTTCATGCACAGGTTCTCCACCAGAGCCTTCCCTGGGGGTGCCTGGCCTGGGGCTCTGGGCTGGGGGTGAAGGATGACCCATCAGGACTGTTTCCTGCCTGCAGCTCTTCCTGGGAGAAGGCCCTGCCAGGCTTTGGAGCCAGACCAGGAAGCTTTATGGCCAAATCCAGCAGCAAGAGTGCAGGTGACATCACAGGGAGGATCAAGAGGGTATGGAGGGGCATCCAAGCCTCTGGAGGGGCCAGGAGACGCCAGCATAGCGAGAAAGGCCTGGCTGTATCAGCCTGGAGGGCAATGCCACTCTCACCCACCACCCACTCTCTTCTCACCCACTGCGACACTGGGGTCACTCACAAGGGTCTGATCCAAGTAGGCCATTTTCTCCTGCAGCTCTGGAGACCTGATGTTGGGGAAGGGCATGCCCACCATCACCACACACCTGGGGGAGACAGGAGCCCAGGGCGGGTGGGTGTCAGGGCCTCCCGTGTAATCACCCACCTGTCACCAGCTGCTCTATTCTACCCCTTCCTCAGCCCTCTCCATCTGTGATCAAAGCTCTGCTCTTCCCAGCTCTGCAGCTACCACCTAAAGAGGGCTTGCTCAGCTGAGAGATCCCATCTAGGACAAAGGACTGGGTCCTGATGCAGCAATGGCCAGCCTGATTTTCCACCTACTCTCCCAGGGCCAAACCCAAAGCTGCTGAGTCCGTCCCTCCAGCTAGCTGGTCTAAGCAGTTGAAACTTGGGTGTGGGCTCCGATGGCAGCAGACGCCAGGCAGGGGCCCAGCTGCTGGGAGTGAGGGCCAGCCAAGTATAGCAGCCCAGGAGATGAACAGAGGCACTACTTACCGGCCTAGATTGTCAGAGAAGTTGATCCCTTCACTCATCTTTCCTCCAACCACAGAGAGGAGCAGCGCCCCTGTCACCCGGCCTCTCTCCTGGCCACAGCCCTGCGGAAGACACGCAGACCCAGAGTTGCTGAGTAGAGGCTTGGATGTCACCCACAACATTTCCAGCTGCCACCCCCACAGTCTCAGATCCAAGCTCAGCATTAGGCTCGCACCTGAATGCACCTGGAATAGGCCAGCAGCACCTGCTCCACCTGGTGTGTGCTCTTAGGTTCCTGGAATATCTGGAGAAAGACAGAGAACATCTCCCAGAGATGGGTTCAGGGCGCTGGGTCTCGGGTCTGCTTGTGGCCTTGTGTTTTCTGGCAGGGGACTGAAGGGCCTCACAACTCAGGGCTTTGGGAAAATCCTCTGTAGTCAGGGACAGGGAGCAGTGGGGATGAGGAGCCAGAAGGCTGTCCTAACTCGATGAGCACAAGAGCTCCCAGGAGGACTCAGAGGCACAGTCCTCTTGAGTGGGAGGACTGCCTGACAGGCTACTCACCTTTTTCCTGGCTGCCAGGCGGTCCAGCAGACCACCCTTCTCCCAGTGGGTGTGGACCTGGCGTAGGTACTCGTAGGACGGGAAGAAACAGACCACCCCTCCAGGAACCACACCACACAGGTTACAGAGGATGCGACCCGCCTCATCCATCTAAGGAAAAAAGAGAGGGATCCCCCATGGAGCAAACCCTCAGCCACCCACAAACAGCATCTTAACCTTGAGGCTCAAAACTGAGGAGAGACCTACAGCATGACTATAGCCAGCAGGGAGGCCTTGGCTCCCCTGGGTGGGAACCACACGGTGGTAGGTGCCACCTCCCTCCAAACATACCCAGCCTCTGCTGCTGAGCCTTTCTGACACACGTTACAACACCAGTGTCTTGCGGGGGGGGGCCTTCCTATTTCCCTGGCACTGCGTCCTCCCTTCTTCACTCCAGGGTCCTGACAGGCACCACAATGACCATCAGGCACTGCATACCTCAGGTGATGCCTCCCAAGCCCCACATCCCTGCCACTGGCAGGAGCAGATATAACCAAAGGGCAAGAGAGCCAAAGGGAGTCAGCAGCTTTCCTCTGCATGTGGCATCCTCAGGGGATGCCTGGAGGTTTTAAAAATACATATTTAGCAGCCTAAGGGGTGAGGGGTGGGGAAGCTCAGACCTTCCTCCATAAGCATCTATATCGATGCTGCTCATCCTGTGCGGCTCTATAGCGGGTGCCCCCATACAATTTCCCTAACGCCTGAAATCACTCAGGGTGGGCCAGAGCACCCCTGCCTGGGAAAACCGTTTGCTGCCTGAGCCCAGGCTGTGGCGCAGCGAGTTGGCTGGGACTGACCATCTGGGGCAGCTCTCTTTTCTGGAACGTAAATTCCAGCGGCTGGCTGGAGATCCCGCTGCAGATGACAAGGGGCAGGATGTTGTCTGGAGGGATCACGTGACCTGTTAAGAGCCAGGGAGGGGCCGAAAACTGGAGATGCAGGCCTGCTGCAAGGCACAGTGCAGGAAGGGCATTTCTCTACCCCATCTTCCAGCTCAGGAGCAGTGACTGACAATGCTCACCCACCCACCATTGCCACAGTCACACTGGGCAGCAGGGAGCAGAGCAGGAGAGCCTGGGTGAATGCACAAAGAGCGAGGCTCCCATCCCCGGGTCTCCTCCGCCCCTGTGCCTGGTCACAGTATGAGGTTACACACAGAAAACAGGGGCCAGAACCTGACCTCTAGCCCAACCCACCCTGGGCATGGCTCCTTACCACAGGAAAACTCCACCACGCGCTCAGGTTCCACCCCGGCACAGGCCAGCAGCTGCTGCCGGAAGTCAGAAACCTGCAGACCAAGACCCCAGTATCACGGCCCTGTGACCTCTCAGAGGCCCAGCAGAAAAAAAGCGAGAAGTCTGGGCTAAAAGGAAGCAAGTACACATGAATAGAAAGAAAAGGTCAAAGAAAAGGCTGATGGCAAATTAACAAAAACAAAAACAGTAACTGATACCCAGTGCTAGCAGTCTTGTTTAACCTACATGCAGAACAGCAAAGGAAATCCAGTAAATCTGGCAAAGTCATTTTGCTGGCCTGCATGCAGCAAAATCACCAGTGAAAATTTTCAGAAATACATGTGGTCAGGCCCCGGCCCAAACTATTGAATAAGAATCTCCCAGTCACTTGTTAGACTGGGAAAAAACCAAAAGTAACCACTCTGTGGAGAAACAGGCATTCCTAGACATTACTGGTGGGATACAGAATGGTTTAATTCTTGTGAAGGGGAATTTCACAGCAGTTAACAAATTAAACATATTTATACTTTTTTTTTAACCCAGGAATCCCATATTTAGGAGTCTATGGAGAAGATACAGCCCAAAGATACCAAACAGCACATGCCCAGGCCTTTTCCTAGAAATCATGTACCTGCCCATCCAGAGGGTACTAGTTGAATGAGCAACGCTACATCTGCCTGACAGAGAACCACACAGTCCACTAGAGGAGCGATGGCTGGGACAACCGGCTAAGATGCCTTCCATGTAAATCAGGAAAGGGAAAATGAAGACACATACTTGCTTATTTTGGGGAAAAAGAAGAACTGAAAGGACAGGGAAGTCAAACTGGTTCCCTATGGGGGTGGGTGGGGAACAGGCTGGAGAGGACGGGAGTGGGACTTTCCTGAATACATCTTTTTATGTAAATTTGACTTCTGAACTACACAAATATTTACATACTTAAAAACTACAAGTCAAAAAAGAAAAAAAAGTTCTAAAATTGAAAAGAAAATGAAACAAAATCAGCCTAGCTTTCTATCAAACTGAAAACAGAAGCACACCAAGAAAAGCCTGGTTCAAGTGACTTTATAGCCTAGTGATCAGACATCCTTAGTGGGTTAGACGGGAAAGGCAAAGAGGAAAGGCAATTTCAGATTTATTATTAGAAGTAATATTGGTATTATGATTTTGAAACTTTTGAGTATATTATGGGATAGAGCAGATAGTATGTTAATGTACCACAAATGTTCAGGCTTAAGAGAAAAAGAGGTACAAAATAGGGTCAGGTAAACAAATCCTATGACTTACACTTAGAAATACCAATATGGGCCAGGCACGGTGGCTCATGCCTGTAGTCCCAGCTCTTCGAGAGGCCAAGGCAGGTGGATCACTTAAGTTCGAGAGTAGCCTGGCCAACATGGTAAAACCCCATCTCTACTAAAATACAGAAATTAGCTGGGCGTGGTGGCATGTGCCTGTAATCCCAGCTACTGGGGAGACTGAGGCATTAGAATTGCTTAAACCTGGGAGGCAGAGGTTGCTGTGAGTTAAAATAGGGCCACTGCACTCCAGCCTGGGTGATAGTGAAACTCCGCCTCAAATAACTAACTAACTAACTAAATAAATAAATAAATAAATAAATAAATGAAACACCAGTACGGAACCCGTATGGATTCATTCAGAAAACATTTCCTAGATCTGTCTACTGAAACGCTCCAGGAACACTACAAACATCCTAGCTCCCACAGCTTGATTTCTAAATCTCATTCTCGATTAAAAGAAACCAAGGCAGCCTGGAGAAATGAATCCAGTGTGGGGGCAAGGACACCCATAGTGAGCCCAGGACATTCTGTTGTGCTGGAGGCGAGACTGGCAGAGCCACGGCAGGACCTGAGCTAGCAGGAAGGGGCTCTCACATCAGCTTTGAGATAGTGTGAGTGTCAGAAACAAGAATGACTATAAACAACTTGAATATGCTGAATGAATAAAACTATGAATCTGTGCACACAAAAATATAAAAGTCAAGACCTAGGGCAGCTGGGGCTGGGAAGCACTGCTTCAGGACTCCCAGCAGCTTTTCATCCAGTAGGCCCTTTGCTAGGTAGGAATCACCACTGTGCAGAGATGTAGTTATATTCATCACAGTCATGCTCAAAACTGACAACTGTAAATAGCCTGCACACCCAACAAGAGGATGAATGAAATGCTATGCTGCATGAAAATGCTATGCATCTGTGCAACTGGAATCCAGCACAGCTGGGGTACTGGAATACGTGCATGCTTGCTGATAAGGAGGCAGGTTCCTGGGAACTGAGCACCTGGCCAAGAAACACCTGATTACCTTGGCAGCTCAGGCTGTATCTTCTCAGTAGACTCCTCTGCTGCCGAGTGAATGTATGAAAAGAGCAAGTTTCAGCAACGGTGCGGGAAGGGAGCTGCACTTTTGTTTTTAAAATAGGTATGCACGTAAGTGAAAATTAAGCCTACAAGGCTATTATAATCATATACACCAAAATGAACCTTTTAAGAGTGGAATCATGATTTTTTTCCTTGAGAGTCTGAAACCACTGAACAGCTTCCTCTGGGAGACATGTGATCCTGGGGCTATAGAGCAGAGCAACAGAGGAGTATCCACTGCCCCCCATCCTAAAAGGCACAGCAGAGCAGAGTAACAGAGGAGTATCCACTGCCCCCCATCCTAAAAGGCACAGCAGAGCAGAGCAACAGAGGAGTATCCACTGCCCTCCATCCTAACAGGCACAGTAGAGCAGAGCAACAGAGAAGTATCCACCGCCCTCCATCCTAACAGGCACAGTAGAGCAGAGCAACAGAGAAGTATCTACCGCCCTCCATCCTAACAGGCACAGTAGAGCAGAGCAACAGAGGAATATCCACCGCCCGCCATCCTAACAGGCACAGCAGAACAGAGCAACAGAGGAATATCCACTGCCCTCCATCCTAACAGGCACAGCAGAACAGAGCAACAGAGGAGTATCCACTGCCCTCCATCCTAACAGGCACAGTAGAGCAGAGCAACAGAGGAGTATACACTGCCCCCCATCCTAAAAGGCACAGTAGAGCAGAGCAACAGAGGAGTATCCACTGCCCTCCATCCTAACAGGCACAGCAGAGCAGAGCAACAGAGGAGTATCCACTGCCCTCCATCCTAACAGGCACAGCAGAGCAGAGCAACAGAGGAGTATCCACTGCCCCTCATCCTAAAAGGCACAGTAGAGCAGAGCAACAGAAGAGTATCCACTGCCCTCCATCCTAAAAGGCACAGTAGAGCAGAGCAACAGAAGAGTATCCACTGCCCTCCATCCTAAAAGGCACAGCAGAGCAGAGCAACAGAGGAGTATCCACTGCCCTCCATCCTAACAGGCACAGTAGAGCAGAGCACAGAGGAGTATACACTGCCCCCCATCCTAAAAGGCACAGTAGAGCAGAGCAACAGAGGAGTATCCACTGCCCTCCATCCTAACAGGCACAGCAGAGCAGAGCAACAGAGGAGTATCCACTGCCCTCATCCTAAAGGCACAGTAGAGCAGAGCAACAGAAGAGTATCCACTGCCCTCCATCCTAAAAGGCACAGTAGAGCAGAGCAACAGAGGAGTATCCACTGCCCTCCATCCTAACAGGCACAGTAGAACAGAGCAACAGAGGAGTATCCACTGCCTCCCATCCTAAAAGGCACAGCAGTGAGAAAGAATAGCAGTGTTGCCCAGCGGACACCGCTGGGCCTGCTCAGGCTGACCCTTTCTGGCTTGGGGCCCCAGGAGTGAACAGGACTGATGATGCATCTCTCCCCAGCCCCCATCCCATCCCAACACATGGGGCACAGGAGCTGGGAAACGTGTCCTTACCGGCTGCATGGTGCCCCCTGCAATTACCACTGCCCGGCATTCCTTCACCACCTGGGCAAAGTGCACAGCTGGATTCAGGAGCAAGAACTTAAGGCTGCTCTGACTGAGGCTGCCTGGAAAAAGAGATCAGTGGAGAGGTGAGTGCAAGCCCAACAGACACTTCTATCATCCCAGCAAAGAGGGATCCCCAGGTAAGTCCGGGTCTGAGGCACAAGTGCTAGTGCTTTCTCTTTAAATTAAAGACCATTTAATCTCTAGGAAAACCAGCCCACAGAGGTGGACCATACAATCCTCTCCATTTTCATACAAGAAAACTGAAGTTAAAAAATAGTCCAAATCCCAAAGCTTATAGATGACCCAAACCAAAGTCCACTCTACCCCACAATACAAGCTTCCCTAGGACCCCTGCCCAAGAGGACCCCATCCCAGCCCCTCTATCTCCCGTCCTCCTCCACTGCTTGCCAAGTCACAGCAGGCCAGTGCCCACTGCACTGCTTCTTCCTAACCCAGGAAATTCCCAGGATGGAAGGAAAGAATCCTTTCACACTGTAGCTCCCTAGCTCAGCTTGGCTCCTTCCTGGGAACTGAGCATATGGCCAAGAAGCACTTGATTACCTTGGCGGCTCAGGATGACCCTGCCGTCCTGGTTGGCCGTAGTGAGAGCTGCCAAGAAGCCTTCGATATGCATCAGTGGGGAAGCTGGTCGCAGGGCAGTGGCCGGACTCTCATCCGCAGGGACTGCACAGAGCAGAATAAGGAGGAGGCCGCCCTGCGGACAGGTCCACACACAAGGAACAGATGCCCTTGCCCAGGCTTACAGCCGGCTCTGCCTGCCCACCCTCCTGCCTCACCTTCAGTTGCCTTGGGCTGCAGGCTCTGTAGGAACTGCTGAAACCCAGCCAATTTGGGCTGCTCCCGAGATGACAGCACTGCTCCGTACCGTTCTGTGAAGCCAAAGAGCTGGGTAGGATGAGAGCGAGCAGTGGAGAGGAACAAGGAACAGCCATGAGAGAGAGGCTGGGTGGATCGGAGGCTCTCCCAGGCCAAAGATGCCTGCAGCACACATCCCACCACCCCAGCAAGGCCCACTGCACCAAGGAGGGTGGAGATAAAGGGGACTCTAGAATACCCTTGAGGGCAGCGGAGGAAAGCATGGTAAGGGCAGGGGGGTTGGGGCGCAGCTGGGTCCCGTTCAGGACCACAAGATGGGAGCAGGTACCTTTCTGCTGACCATGCTCTTCTCACAGTACCGCTGCACCTGCAAAACCGAGCCCAGCTGTAGGCACATGTGCAAACTGAGTGAGCTGTAATCTAAACAAACAAACAAAATCCCACCACCCCCACCACCCAGGCAGCACAACGCAGTGATACCTTCTGAGGCACCTGGAGCCTCCCTGCCACTAATGCTGTCATCCCCTCTCTGAGGCCACCTCCTCCTCTACTGCCCCGTCCACAATGCAGTACCCTATTCAGGAAGCCTGTGCACACGACCCTCCTGAAGTCACCTCCCTGGGCCTCTGTTTCCTTTGCTTGCCAGGGGTGAAAAGATATCCTAGCTCAGAGCCACAGCACATGGCATGCCACCTAGAACACAGGCAGGACCCTGTTCCCACGGGCAGTCACTGTTACTGCCTTGACCACAAGGGTGGGGTTCAGGCAGCAGTGGCCAGAAGCGCCAGGTATGCAGGCCTGGAGTGAGCAGACGTCTGAGGCTGCAACCGGACCCAAGGCCCAACTGGGAAGATGTGGAAGGGGTCACATAGAACATATCAATGTCCTGCTCCTGTCCATAAGCCTGAGGGAGACTGTGCCGGAAGATGGAATGAGGCGGCAAGGACCTAGAGTCTCTACCTGTTCTATGGGGCACCAAGAAAGGTGCCTTTCTCACCCATTCCTGTGGCCTTCACCCTAGAGGAAGATGACTTTTGTCTTGCAGGCACAGTGCGCTAAGGGTTAAGTAATTACACCTCTATGTTTTAGATCCTTAGACGGCTTGAGGACAGAAGGAATTTGCTTTTTCTTCCTTCCACAGTCTTCACATAGTACTCTACCCACAGATGGTTTTAAGGAAACTGGAAGGTGGAAAGGTGGAAACCTCTACCTTGAACAGGTTGATGTTGTCGATCTGGCTCTGGAAGAGGAAGTCGTTGATGGTCTTCAGCTCCGTCCCTGAGGGCAAACACAGGAAGGGCCTTCGGAGTTTCACCCTGAGCCTTGGCCTTCAGTCCCAGGATTAAGATCGGAAGTGGCTCAGATCAGCTCTGGGACCTCTGAGAGCAACTCTCTTACCTGTCTGTGAGAGGCTCTGTGTATTGGGGTTTTGCTTAATGTTCCCTAAGAAAGAGAATCGAAATAGGTCAGGATGGTGGTTCTCTGCACCCCCCAACCCTTCCCTATCTTCTCTCCCTCTACACGGCACATCAAGAGCATCGGTATTTCAATGGCTTTGTTTTGCTTTTCACTCTTTATAGCATACAAAGGACCCACTGAGAGGGCAGGGGTGTCTAGGAGCCTCCCACATTTGACTCATGTGCTTACACATGGAACCCAAAGCCCTGTAAGTTCATGCTTTTCACCCCTCCTCCAGGAGGCCAGGACACAGTGGCCAGATGAACGTATGCAGGGCAGGGGAGCATAAAGGAGCTGCCCAGGCCATGTGGTGAACCTGAGGCAAAGCAGAGCTGGCAGCTCAGAGCAACAACACAAGGCCAGCTTCCGCCAGAAGCTCCCACAGGCTTTCTGCAACTTCCGTTTCCACAGATGCCTTCCAAGGAGCTGCCCCATTATAAAAGAAGGGGACGAGACGGGGTCATGCAAAGCGGGCTGGAAGCTGAAGCCAGAAGATCCCAGGCTCCCTTGCTGGGCTTGTGAATAGTAAGCAGCCCCTTGCTCTGAGCTCTAGTTTATATGTCTGTCAACGAGGACTCAAATGCCAGCACTGCGTTCTCACAGGGCACGCAAAACCACATATGCAGTGCTTCGAACACCCCACAGCACTACGCCTATCACAGAAACACTGTATGTTCATGAGATGCTGTATCCTTACTATTCCCACAGAATGGGGCCTGAAATAAAAAGGCCTCGAACTCAGGCAAAGAACCCCGTGGGTCTAAAAAAAGCTCAAGTCAGACAACTCAACTAAGCTACAAAGAACAAGAATTTTCTAAATCAATGATCAAGACCGTTCTTAAAAACACAGAGACTGAGGCGGTTCTGATGAGCATCCAAGGAAACAGCAGCCTGGCAGGTTTTGCAGGCCAGGGGTTAGCAGGGGGATGGGGCTCTTACCTCCCAGCATGGCCACAAATTTCTCCAGCAAATACAGGATCTGTTTCAGGTACATCAGGTTCTTGGCCTTCAAACGCTTGCTGAGAAGAAGCCAATGGACATTAAGCGGTGGTGCCCTGACGGCAACTCACCCCGCCCACCCCCAGCAGGGGCCTTGCTGCCCAATGCCTCTCAAACTGGGTCACAATCTACAAATCCCTTCCCAGAAAGCAGGCTGGCCATGGCCTCAGGCCTCAGAGCCAGCGGTCAGTCCCCAGCCTCCCATGTCTGTGTGAAGCACACACCATGATGTGCTCAGGACATGAGTGGCACGCAGCTCCACCATGCTGCAACCCGGATCAGAGGGGAACCAAAGTGCTGCCTCTAAGGGGCTGATGCAGGGGGCCACTGAGGCTGAGAGACTGTCACACTATCTCAGAGGGTCACATCTCACCTGTATCTCTCCATGTACTGCAGCAGCTGGGAATAGGCCTGGCAAAGCTGCGGAAAGAACACAAACCAGGCTTAGGCAAGCAGCCAAGGGCTGTGCTGACATCTTAGATTCGCCTAGAAGATGCTGGCCCTGGACACACAGGAAGCCACCAATGGGAGGAGAGGGGGCTGGGTGCAGACAAAAGGTATGGGTTTCCACAGCACTTAGGCTGGTGGGAGCTGACCGAGAGGGAAAGGAAGGGAAGTTGTCCTCCAGTGTCCACTGTGGGTCAGAGAAAAGCAAGAGGCTGAAACCCTTAAGTACTGAGTCTCCCTGCTAGTTTCCACAAGGTTAAGGAAAGACCTGGAGTCTACGAAGAGTGATGGTTCAAGGTCACCATCACATCCCAGCCTCAATTCAACCCAGGGACAGGTCAGTAGAGCTGGTGGGATGCTGTCGGGGTTTCACAGTCACAAACCAAGGTTGCCTCGGAGGCCCCCAGGTTTCTGCAAAACACCCTGAAAACCACTGGTGTACCAGGAAGCGGCCCCAGCTTCTGTTCCTGGAGCTGCTACACCCCAGCTCCACACTCATGAGCTGTATGATCTTAGGACACAGCTTGACCATCTCTGAATCTTCAAGTTCCCAACGTGAAATAGGAATACCACCCTCATGGCAGCGTGAAGACCAGACACCTGGTGCTGTACACGGTACAGGAGGAGCCTGCACCAATCTTTTTGTTTTTTGAAACGCAGTTTCGCTCTTGTTGCCCAGGCTGGAGTGCAATAGCACAATCTTGACTGACTGCAACCTCCGCCTCCTGGGTTCAAGTAATTCTCCTGCTTCAGCCTCCCGAGTAGCTCGGATTACAGACATGCACCACCACATCTGGCTAATTTTTGTATTTTTCAGTATAGACAGGGTTTCACTACGTTGGTCAGGCTGGTCTCGAACCAGCTTACAGAACTGGCTGCTGGCATCCAAGGCTGGAGGGACTCAGGAGCATGGGGGCAGGTACGGTACAGGGAAATCAGTAGATGTCAGAGCGGGGTCCCCAGAGTTCTGGGATGTTCTGGAAAGCCACAGTCAGCCTCCAATAAGGTCACTGCCTTGACTTGGTGCACCCTCTAGCAAGCCCCACCTCTGGAGAAATTCTTGGTCCAGGTGTCTGGAGGACCATTTAAATCCCTTTGTCTCATGGCAGGCCCTGGCCTGGGGAGGGGAGGCCCACACACCTGGGAGCCGCTGACCTCCACACTGTGCATGCCTGTGATGGTGTCGATCAGGTTGTGTGCCTCGTCGATGATCACCACCTGGTCCTGCAGCCGGATGCCTGCAGCCTGTCGAGTGGCCGCATGCAGCAGCATCTGATAGGGCAGCACCACCAGCTGGGAGGAAGATGAGGCCATGTTAGCAGGGTGGGGCTCCCCTGCAGCAGCCTGGCCTGCCCAAGACTGAGCTCCTGATGTGAGTGCTTCTATTTCCTGTCTGGACTGTGTGTAGAGACATTCAAGAAATAGCTTATAGCAATGGACAAGCTTTCCTCAAGAGTTTTACAAGAAAAGTCAAATACATGAAACACTGGAAACTAGGGTTGGTCTGACTCCTGAGTGAACCAAGGGCAAGGCTGGGTGAGGGTAACCCCTGCTTAGCTTTGTTCACGTCCTCAAGGTCACCCCAGAGGCCCCCAGGTTTCTGCAAAATACCCTGAAAACCACCGGTGTACCAGGAAGCAGCCCCAGCTTCTGCTCCTGGAGCTGCTACTTCCCAGCTGTATGACTCTAGAAGAGTTATCTAACTTCTCTGACCCTTGGTTTCCTCATCTGCAAAATAGGCTTGATACATCCTATCTCAAGGGAGGGTTCAGGAGTGGAGCTGGGGCAATAAAAATAAAAGCAACTCTGCAGATCTTTAGGTGTTTGTTGTTAGCAAAGATTCCAATCAAAGGAATAGTCATATATAAAAAAAAAAAAGAAAAACCAGAAACTGAAGGGCACCATCACCTACTCTTGGTGAGAAAATATAAGTCACTTAACCCTTCTGGGCTCCAGGGTCCCCATGCATAGAATTTCACCAGAAAACTATTAACATAAAGTCAAGATATGGTCAAGGTGCTTAAAAAATCCAAAAATCGTTAAGTTTTTGGGTCATGTTATGTTATCTGTGCATAAATGCCCATAGCACTAATCTTGCTCTGAAGGCAAACACACTGGAGGGAAGGCCTGGGACACCACGGGGGCTGGCAGCTTTCCTCCAGTGCCCTGCCAGTGCCCACACAGCTCAGACCCTATGCTGGTGAGCATCTAGCTACTGTGCAAAATGGTTACTTAGTTTCCCAAATCTTTTAAAATCTACTTAAATTTTTTCTGGATTAAAGAGAATTTTCCACAAGTGATATCCTGTTTCCAAAGTCATTCAAATTAAGGAATTAGCAAGGTAATGGTGAAATCGCACCCATCAAATAACAATGAGATACCATTTTTGACCTGCTATGTTAGCAGCTCTGTTTACAAATTAAGAGAAGTTGAGTCAGAGAAGACAGTATTCTCTCATGCTGCAGGTAGGTGTATGTTAGGAGTGCTTTCCAGTTAAAAGAGTACTATTATTTAAGATAAAAAATGAAAAATGGGAAAACTGAATGGTTCCATCACTGACATGTTCCATCACATCACAGGTGTGGAAGTTGGGACCATCACTTGAAAAGCCATTTGGAAATAGATTTACACACTGCACTCTTCTCAGCTCCCGGCATCCTCTCCCTGTGGTTTCACTAGGGATGCACATGCTTTCCTGGCTCCTAAACACTGTTTCCAGTAATACCAATTGGCCTTGCCGCCTGGTTCCCCCAAGGAATCCCACCTGCCTCCTCCAACTCACGCCTCAGGAAAGAATGGGTTAAGTGCCATCAGTCTGACCACGGTGGGTGGCATCCCCCAAATTACAGTGTGATGAGGACTCTCCTCATGGCCTAGGCCACAGTGAGAGCCAAGAGTGGCTTTCCAGCACTGCAGGGCCCTCACCTGGGCTGCAGGGATGGCAAGGCGGCTTCCGTAATAGGGACAGGCCCGGGCCTCCTTCCCAAGGGCCAGCAGCTGCTCAATGTCCTTCACCTCTGCCAGGGCCTCATCCCGGAGGAGGCCCATCTGCTCGTGGTTGTAGAAGGGGCAGGCAGCCTGCTTCTCCGGTCTCCTTCTCTTTGGCTTCTCCTCCTCAGCTCCCTTCTTCTTCTCTGAGGGTGGTACACACACAAGGAGAGAAAAGAGAGGGGACAGCAACTGTCCACAGGCCCGAGAGAGGGTTCTGTGATGCTGAGACCCGCTTCCATGGGATGGGGTCTGTAAGACCCTCCCAAGTACTGCCGACTATGGTCTCATCAGAACACTCTAAGGTTTTACATTTGTTCTCCAGAAAGAGCCTGGAAAATGATCTCTAAGCCACGGATTTGGGCCAGACACTGACCCAGAAAGCAGGAACACTTTTTCCCAAGGAGAGGAGACTTAAGAAGGAACTGGGGAACTGGGGTCTCCTCTGCCATTCTTTTTTTTTTTTTTTTGAGACAGAGTTTCGCTCGTTACCCAGGCTGGAGTGCAATTCTTGTTACCCAGGCAATTCTCCTGCCTCAGCCTCCCAAGTAGCTGGGACTACAGGTGCACGCCAACATGCCCAGCTAATTTTTTGTATTTTTAGTAGAGATGGGATTTCACCATGTTGACCAGGATGGTCTCGATCTCTTGACCTCGTGATCCATCCGCCTCGGCCTCCCAAAGTGCTGGGATTACAGGGGTGAGCCACCGCGCCCGGCCTCCTCTGCCATTCTTTCTATGCAAGACACTTAACGGTCTTCAGTCACTGCCACCCCTGCCTCACTCTCCCCAGACCACCTGCAGCTATGCCATGGTCCCAGTGGCTACCGTGCCTGCTTCTCTGCATGTCCACGCAGCGGTCGTTGATAAGCTGCACAGAACCTAGGCTTTTCACATCTTCATTTACACAAAGGTTCTGCAACAAAGGAGAAAGGAAGAGCTTTGGAAAGAGACAGTGCTGGCTAAATGACACCCAACCAACACACGTGGACCTGCCCTGCCCACTTCTCCTTCGCCTTCCAGTGATCAGTCGGCCAGGCCAGGCCAGGGAGGGAGCTGCTCCTCGCACTGTTCAACCTGTCGCAGACCCAGCGTCTCCCAGGCCTGGACGAGGAGGAGGACAAAGCTGTGGGGAAGGGAGCAGGATGGCCCCTGGTGGAGACACTGGCCACTGTTTACCTGCCGGGAGCCGAGGGAGACCAGCCGGACGTCCTTGCCAAAGGGGCTCTTCTTCACCTCATGCACAAACTGGGCCAGCTGGGAGTGTGTCCGACTACAGTAATAAACCTAGCAGAGAAAAAGAAAGGTGCTCAAAGAGGGAACCAAAACATCCCACAGCATTCTATTCTTTAACATTGAGGCACGCCAGGGCCTGAGAGGCTGAGGGAAGGGGATGGCTCCAAATTCACAAAGCTGAGGCAGGACAGCAATGTCCCACATCAGGTCTCATCTACTGAGGGACCCAGGGTTCCTGAATCACCCGCAGATCCAGACATTCAGGGGAATGCCCCAGAGGCAGCTCCTTCCACAAGTCACATCCAGCCTCTCATCAACTGCTTTGGAGGGTTGGCCAATCTTAGGACAGTGGTGACCATCTCCCAAATGGTGACTCTTAACCAGGGCAAAAAGTCCCCATTTGGGGAGGGGGTATCAGCAGGGCAGGGTTGTTTCACACACATCCATCCCCAAAGGGGAAAAAGGAAGACTGAGCAGAATACCCTCTCTCTACTCCTCTAAGACAAGAGTGAGGGAGGAAAACAGAAAAATACAGAGAAAATACCTACTTCGGACAAAAAACAAAAGTCATAAATCAATGAAACCAAGTATGTTTAAACTTGAGAAATGTCAGACCATACACATCCCACTGCCCTCCATGCAAATGGAAACATGGATAAGAAGAAAAGCATACCAGGAGAGACCTAAAGGGCAGGGCACTTGTGTGTCCTACCAGCGCCACCCAGTGGGGACATAAACCACAGACTTCAGCCCAGAACAGCTGCTCCTCGATGCCCTGGGGTGGCAAGCATGGCCCTGCTCCCAGGAGAGGTCTCCCCAGTCCTCGAACCCAGGTCTCCAGGGTCGCATCTGGGAAGCCACAGAGTCCAAGTGCTGGAAGCTCCTCCTTTGTGGACAGGAGGGTGAGAAGCAGCCGAGTGACTGCAGCCTCCTCCCCAGGGTGCAGAGCGCAGCCCACAGGCCCCACCAGCACCAGCAGAGTACACTCATGTTACCTTAGTTACATGTTCTTCCTCCAGGTCATCCTCATCCTCATCCACCCTGTGTGTGAGAGAGAGAAAACACAAAACAGTCTTCCCTCAGCAAAAAACACTGAGCATCTGCTGAGCGCTGGTCTTGAGCCCTGGACATCCATAGCAACGGGTTTCACCAAGGAAGCAGGTGCTACTTGTTCAGAAACTCCCCCAGGCAAATGCCAACCCCAGTTTCCCATGGCTACCCAGGTCTGTGGATGGGGAAATGTGGAAAAAAGAAAGGGGCTCAGCACCCCCAACCAAAGTCTTGAGTTGGAAGCGTGAGGAGTCATGGCAGGCTGTTTTCTCTCTCTGTCCTCCCTCCAGCAAGCCGGACCCCTCTGAGGCACCAGGGGGGATATTTGCTCTTCATCACTTGGGCCTTTGAGTGTTCTGCACCTGGAATGCTATCTCCCCTCACCAGCTCCCAGACAACTCTGAGATCACAGCAGAAAGGTCACCTCCTCTAGGAAGGCTTCTTTGACCTTCCCTGGTAGGTCTGGCTGCTCAGACACATATTCATGGCACCTGCTCTTAACACCTATGTCATTCAAAATCGCTTCCCCTCCATCTCTCTCCCCTCAGACTGTCATGTCCACAAGGGAGGACCAGGTTGGCCTTGTCTCTGCTGCATTCCTGTGGCCTCACCTAGAGCTTGGCATGCAGCAGGAACCCCACGCACATCTCCTGGATGAAGCCACAGCTGACCGACCGAGTGAACTGCTGTTACTTATGACCAGTCACACCTCTTCTCTTTTCAGTCTCAGTCTGCCCTTTCCAGCAATGCAGGAAGGAAGAGCCCATCGGCACCAGGGGTTGGCAGGGAGGCCAGCTCTGCATCCCATGGCCTGCAGCTGAGCCAGCTTTACTAGTCTACACCTTCAGAAAGCACAAAACCATCTACCAACTGCAGGTGCAGGCTACCTATGGGAATAACACATGAAAAAGAAAACATTTTGGTTCACCTCAAAATTCCTTTCTAAAAAGGCAGAACACAATTGCGTCTGGCTATCAGAAGAGCAGTTATTACAGGCTTGGCTTCATGGTCATTAGAAGCAGGCAGCTCTGTCTTAAAAGCTTGGATTCTATCCTATGTCGCATGCTGGACACAGCCAGCAGGAGGTCAGTTAGAGGCTGGGCGTTTGAAGAAAGGAAGAGCAAAAATTTTCCATTCAGAACTCAGGTCCTCCAAGGTTCACATATCTCTTGAAATGTCAGGGCATGGGAAGCCCCGGAAGCTGATCTAAGGGATCCGTGGCTCTTGCCCAGACCCAAAGAAGTGCTTTGTTCCTCTAATATTCACCACTCCACCTCCATTCAAGTTCTCTGCCTTGTCCCCACGGGCTCTGAGGAAGAAGGGGAGCAGAAACAGGATCTTGGAAGCAGGCAGGAAGGGTTCATTGAGCACAAACCATTTATGAGCCCCTCTCACCAGTGAGGCATAAAGCAGTGTGGTGGTCTCTGCCCTGGGCAGGGGCAGAAGTCAAGGTCCACAACGGCAACACTACCGGACTGGAACGAGCCGGCATCTGCTCATTCAGGTCAATTTCATTTTATTGAGCACACCCCTATGCCAAACACTGGGTCAGTTCTGGGAACATAAAACTATGAAGACGTGGTTCCTGCCCTGAAGCAGGTCGAGCTCTGCCAGGGAGAGGAGGCAACAACAGGAACACAAGCAGGTGTGTGAGCAAAACAGAGAGGAGGACACCCAGGGCCATCGAGACGACGCCTGAGCCAGCCTTGAAGGAGAGAAAGGCATTCGCCAAGGTGTTTGGACAGAGCACGCTGCATGAGCAAATCCTCGGACAGAACAGAGGAAGGCCTGGCGTGCTGGAGGGTCAGGGCAGCAGGGAAGCTGGCTTCTGGGGTAGGGCGGCTGGAAGTGGTGTCAGAAGGAGCCCTGCAGACAGACTGTGATGGCCAGGGATGAACCTTCAGAACATCTACAGAAGGTCTGTGGTCTTGCAGTTACCCTCTAACAGATGTGGTGGCCAGGGTGTCACAGGACACATGGGACTCATCATCAGGTGCAGCCCCTAACACCATCCACATCACCCAGTTTTGTTTTCCTTGCAGGCAAACATGCTGATTTCACCTAGGTGCTATTTGTTTTCATGTCTATTAACTGTCCCCTCCATGTCTTCTTCCCTTCTATGTCCACGGTATCTGGCTAGTGCCACACCTACAGCAGACACGCAGGGGTAGTGGTGAGGTTCCAGTGTGAATGGAATGGGACTGTCACCAGGGATCCTGTGGGCCAGAAATGGCCTGGGTGGCCTACTCAGGGCTAAGTCACCCCGCAGCTCATGGCTCATCAAGTGGAAACCCCGAGTCTGGACCAACAGAGGCCTTAGAGGAAAAGGAAAACTTGGGCTAAGGAAGCATTGACGGGTGGCACCTCATGGGTTGCCCAGTGCAGTCAGCTGCCTCAGAGCCTAAGATCTAGAGTCAGGCTTGCTGAAGTCAAGCCCAGCTCCACTGCTGAGGCTTGTGGACTCCGCCAAGTTGTCTCCCCTCATGGGGCTGCAGCGTCCTTGTGCCTAAAGCACAGACACAAATGTTCCTGCCCTGCCTGAGCGGCCATGAGGACAGCTGAGTGAACATAGGACAGGCCAGTGACTGTCATCGCTGCATTGGCACTCATGGACCCTAAGAAGGACCCAGCTTAGAGCAGAGGGCAAAGGCCACCATGCCTCTTGCCAGCTGTTTCATGGCACCTGTGGTACAAGGGAAAGAGCTGTCTTCAAGGGTGTCCCCTGGCCTGGGGCAGGGGCAGGGTAGCGTCACCGCTGTCTCACCTGCTCACTGCTTTTTTCTCCTCATCACTCTCGTATTCAGCAAGAACCAGCTCCTCTTCCCCAGACTCCAGCTGCTCCAGCCGCTCAGCCACTGGGCCTGTCTCCAGCATCTCCCTGCTGAGGCGGAGGAGATTCTCTGTTTCTTCTTGTTCCTGCCTCTGGACAGGAGTAGTGGACATGGGGAGAGAGGAAGAAGTCTCAGCACCAGTACCCACCTCCCCACCTGCCAGGGCCAATGCACACCATGCCCATTCACATGGGCCTGGCCGCCTGGCTGGAGAGGGTCTACTCCTGGGATCCATGCCTCAGCCACTCACAGCCCAGCTCCTGCATGGGAGCACACAGCCAGGGAGGGTCATGGAGGGGAGACTGAGGCCCTGGCCACGCACCCATGAGCCTCCAAGCAGCAGGACCCTGCCTGGACATGTTCCCGCCCCCCAGGAGATGAGGCTCACCAGGCGCTTGGCTGCATACTTGAGCTGTGCCCTGTGCTGCAGCTGCTGCAGGCGCTCTTCTCGCTGCCTCCTCCTGGCCTGCTCCGCCTAAAGGGGAAGGCAGACACGAAGGAAACTCACCAGGAAGCCCCAAACCAGGCCTCTCTTAAGGAGTCTGGGCCACTCAGCCTGGCGCTTCCTCACTTGGGAGCAGCTCTCCTTCCCTGGCCGGCACTCAAGGGCTGCCGCATCCCCTTCCCAGACCTCACCCCTGCGGTCCCAGCCTTGCTGTTCATTGAGGAAAGCTGCCCACTCCTCCCAAAGCCACACGCTTTCCATCAGATCCGTGCCTTAACTGCATTACAGCGACTGAACCATGTTGTCAATGGCAACAATCAGGTCCTTTCCTAGGTGAGTAATAAACAGGACCCACTAGCTCCTCGTGTGAAAAAGGCCTGCTGACATCCAGCTCACAAAAGACAGCATCGGCCCAAGGAGCTGATGGAAGAGCTGAGAGGCATGGCAATGGCAGAGGAACACGCACTACCTGAGTCTCGGAATCACCCCAAAACAATCGCTGAAGCCTGTTTCCTCCATCACTCCCACTTCTGGTTACCCCAGGTCTCACCTTTAGTCGGTCCACCAGGTCCCTCTCTTCTTTCTTCTGCACAAACTCAGTCACCCAGGCTGGTTCTCCAGCAGGCCTCGGGGTGCCTGCAGCCACTTCGCAGGAAGATGACAGACACGGGGATTCGTCTTTCTCATGACGTAAGGGGCCAGTTCCAGTTTCAAGGAGCCGTGCCTCTTCTTCACGCTTCTTCTGCTCAAAGTCACGGAGCCAGGAGAGGGCCCCACAAATAAGACTTAAGGACTTTCCCTGCAGGAAGAAAAATGATCTTTAGGAAGAGGAAAATAAAGCCTTCCAAATGACCTCTCCCCATTTTAATAAAAGCTTGAAAGAAGGTCTGGCTGTACATATGAGAGGATGCTCTAAGACCAGCCTAGGGAAGGAAAGGAAGGAAATTAGCACTAGAATAGACAGGAAAAGCAGAAAAATGGAAGAAATTAAAACTGGGCCCAAGAAGCAGGAAAGAGCTTCTTTAATCATCCAGCTCATATGTAAATATTGCACATAATTAGAAGGAGGTGAGACAATAGACCAAAAAACCTAAAAGAATTAAGGCCCCAAAATGTCAAGCAAGAAATTCCATGTACTTGCCAAGAGAAAGCCAGAGTGGCCGCTTAGCCATTATGCAGCTCACATGCAGATACAGGATGATCAGTCACAAGTGCCAGTGTTCACGTTTTTTGTTTTTGTTTTTATTTTATTTTATTTTTGAGACAAAGTCTCACTCTGTCACCAGGCGCCAGGCTGGAGTGCAATGGCAGGATCTTGGCTCACTGCAACCTCTGCCTCTCAGGTTCAAGCAATTCTCCTGCCTCAGCCTCCCAAGTAGCTTGGACTACAGACATGCACCACCACACCCAGCTAATTTTTGTATTTTTAGTAGAGATGGGATTTTACCATGTTGGCCAGGATGGTCTTGATCCCTTGACCTCGTGATCCACCAGCCTCGGCCTCCTAAAGTGCTGGGATTACAGCCGGGCACCACCAGCCTTGTTTTTGTTTTTAAAAGCCAACTAATCACTCTGGAGGACATCACCCTTTTTGTTTGTCTGTTTTAGAGAGGCGGTCTTGCAATGTTGCCCAGGCTGGTCTAGAACTCCTGAGCTCACAGGTTTCTCTGGCCTCAGCCTCCCAAGTGGCTGGGGACTATAGGTGTGCGCCTCTGCATACAGACTGGACAACACTACTCTTAAGACCAGAATTTTCCATAAGCCTGGTTGAATTGTATTTCCCCAAATTGCTGTGCTGAAGTCCTAACACCCAGTGTCTCAGAATGTGGCCTTATCTGGAAAGAGGACCACTGCAAATGGAATTAGGACCACTACTAGGGTGGGCCCCAGCCTAAAGGGCTAATATCCTTATTAGAAAGGGGACACGTGGATGCAGACATGCACAGAGGCAGGCGATGTGATGAGACCCAAGGAGAAGACGCCACCTATAAGCCAAGGAAAGGGGCCTGAAGGGATCCTTCCCTAGAGTCCATAAGAAGGGACCAAGCCTGCTGACTCTTTGATCTCAGACTTCAGATTCCAGCTTCCAGCACTGTGGGACATCAGTTTCCATTGTTTAAGCCCAGGTTTGTGAAGCTTTCCTCTGGCAGCCCCAGGGAACCAATATAGTTCTTTCAGAGAGGACCCTGCAGCCAGCGCCACCAGGTGGTGGCCCAGGTGTCCACAAGGGACTCGGCTCAGGGGAGTCTCTGGAGGAGCCCATGCCTTCTGCTCCAGGCAGTCAGCTCTTCAGCCTGCTGAACCCAGAGGGGATCGCAGAGTATCCAGGGCGGAGTGAAATACCTCATATGACTAGGGTTGGGGCAGCAGCATGGCATAGGAGTCAGAGCTTCAAACTCCACAGCCAGGCGCCAGGGTTCCAGCTGCACGCCCCCCCACCCCCACCTGCAGCTCTGTGGCTCAGGCTGGCCTCACTGCGCTTGATTCCACAAGTTCAGAAACGGGAATGACAACAGCAGCACCCTCCTCACAGAGCTGGTGTAAGCAGGTCATTAGTTAACACACACAAAAGGCCAAATCCTCTGCATTAGAGAACTGCCTGGCAAATAACAAGTGAGCAGTTGGACTTAGCTAATTTTTTGCTATCATTAAGAAATAAGAGTATTAATAGTATTATTCTGGGATATGGGATCTATTAGTTTTCATTAGAATTTTGAAAGGCCCTGGGATAGGACAGAATGACATTGCTGACAAACGGATGGATCCCATATTTTTAGAAAAGCCCCATATGTGCCATTTTCCTCAGTTTTTGATAGACACTAAATGGCAAAGAGTTTCAGGCAAAACTCGCCAGCAGCACCCAGAGGGCGGCTCTTCGGTGCTACCTGTGAAACCGGGAGCAGTCAGCTTTGGCTGTCACTGAGCTGGGAGACACCATGGTTAGAAAGCCAGTGCCCTCCATTTGAAAGTGAGCTGAGGAAGTTCCTGAGGGCATGGTCAAAGTTATCTTTCAAAAACAACTGTGGGTATACGCTGGCACAATAACAAAAGAATAACTGAGGCCCACAGCTTTCTATCCTGTAACAAGACCACAAAACTTTGAGATTGGAAAATGTTGAAAGGATGCATCACCAAAGGCTCACCTTCCTGGGGTATCATCCCAGATAACACAGTTAAAAGATTTATGCCAAGATAAGCAAATTCATTCACTCTGAACACCTGCTGGTTGTCGCAAGCATGGGGCTCAAAGTTGAGGACACAAAGGTGCAGAGTCCCTAGGAAATGCTCACAGGCCCACATGTGACATACAATTCAAGGGCATCATAGAACCCTGCAAAGCGTGGAATCCAGGTTTGAGGACTCCCAGAACTGGAGTGTTACACAAGGCACAGCACACACCAAGTTGTGATGGTGACTCAACTTGATAGACTCGTATGAAGCTTAAAAAATGACTATTAAGGATAAACGGCATCTCGGGCAGCTAAGCTGGGGCACCTGTGCATACAAGATAGGGAAAGGCATGGAAAGTACAACATGCAACAAAAACCCCACTTGGTGTCTCACAGCATGGCTGCTCCTGTGGGCCACAGGACACCTGGGACAGGAGAAAACACTCTATTCAGGGGATGATTTAGAAGACAGAAGAATGTCAATGGTAATAAAGTAACAGGGTACACTCATAGAGAATGCACACAAGAAGATGAGGCTAGCGAACAAGAAACATCAACAATTAAAGGCTGAGCAGAGGAGGAAGATGTGGAAACCCGGAATGCAGAAAACTGAGATGGAAAGACTTGAAAGGGAGATGATGGGTTGTCAGGCAAAACAAGGTGAAAGGGCTCAGGTGCAGGAGCTCACACCTATAATCCCAGAACTTTGGGAGGCCAAGGTAGAGGATCGCTTGAGCCCATGAGTTTAACACCAGTCTGAGCAGCATAGTGAGATCTCATTTCTACAAATTAAAAAATTATCTAGGTGTGATGGTGTACACCTGCAGTGCCAGCTGCTCAGGAGGCTGAGGTGGGAGGATCACTTGAGGCCAGAAGGTCGAGGCTGCAGTGAATCATGAACTTACCACTGACTGCACTCTGCCCTGGGCAACAGAGCAACACCCTGTCTCTAAAATTAAAATAAACAAGGCGGAATGAACACGCACTCATCTGCATTCTTTTCCAAAGCACACTAAAATTAACCAAAGTAATATGGAGGCATATTACACCCACAAAAACAAGGAAAGTGGAAGGAGTAACACATTTCAGGAGACAAGGAAAGACAACAGAGAAATGGAAGTGATTCGGCAGAGACACTCAAGCTCAAGTGTCCCCAAAGATCTCCCCCACTGACTCTCAGAAAGACCCGGGAACTGGTAGGAACATGGCAGGCCACCAAAAACAAAGGGACAGATTGAAATTCTTTTCAAGAACAATTAGATCCCCAGGTTGCAGTCCCTGATCCTGCTCCTTGCAGAAGACAGGAAGTCGGTTCTCTGTGGAAGCTGAGCTAGGAGAGCTCTGGAGGCAACAGGCAGAGTGGGGGAGGGAGAGGGGGAGGAAAAGGAGGGTGAAAAGGAGGAAAAGGAGGGGAAAAAGGAGGAAAAGGAGGGGGAAAAGGAGGAAAAGGAGGGCCAGGCTGAAAGTAGGCACTGATGGGGACTCTCCACCTGGAGCCCTTTCCCCAAACCACTTCCAGGAAGACTGGCTGTCAGGCTTCAGCCCCTGTACCTGCTGGGCCAGAGCTTGGAGGCGCCTGCCCTGGAGAAACCCAAGGCTCTAGGGAAAATCTCAAAGATGTGCTGGCAACTAGAGGCCCCCAACAAAGGAGCCCAGCCTGGCAGCCACAGCCAGCCTGCCCTGCAGACTCAGCCTTTCTGTGCCCTGTTCTTTAGCATACACAGGCAGCCCAGGACCACCAGATGTTTGAAGAAAGCCTCCAAACAGACATACACCCCACTGTGCTGTGGGTGTGGCTGTCTGTCCCCACCCACACTCATGCTCAAATCTGTTAAGTCAGTCAGTCTGAGGAGCAACTAATTCAAATGACAGGAAAAGGATGGAGGATTCCAGGATGGCTCCAAGGTAAAATGGGATTGGTCACTGCTGTGGACTGAGTTGTGTCCCCACCTAAATGCATGTTAAAAGAAGCTGGGTGTGGTGATGTGCACCTGTAATCTCGAATCTTGCCAGCCTCCAGCTACTTGGGAGGCTGAGAGGGGAGGATTGCTTGAGCTTAGGAGTTTGAGACCAGCTGGGCCACACAGTGAGACTCCCCATTTTAACAAACAATCATATGTTGAAATCCTAACCCCACTATGTGACTGTACTACAGATCCGGTGTTTAAGGGTATATAAAGGAGGTCATAAGGGATGAGGCCTTGTCTTCATAAAAGAGAAAGAGACACCAAAGATCTGTTTTTCTCCTCCCCCTTTTTTCTTGCTCCATAGCAAGAAGGCAGTCACCTGCAAGCCAGGAAGAGACCCCTTCCCCAGAACCAGAATCCTGCCAGAACCTTGACCTTCAACTTTCCAGCCTCCGGAATGGTGAGAAAATAAATTCCTGTTAAGTCACCCAGTCTCTGCTCTTTTGTTATGGCAGTCCTGGCCAACTCAGACAGTAATTTTCTGGATGGAAAATCATACTGAGAGGTCACTGGATGACGTGGGAGGAATTGGCATAGGTATATTAAAAACTTCAGTAACTTTATTAACTCTAGAAAAACAAAATATTAAGACATATTGTTCAAGACAAAATTATGTTCAAAACATAATCTTAACACACATGTTGACTCAGCAGAGACTAAAACCTGGAATTATATTTGTAGGATGGGGAAAGGGAAGGAAAAGAGATGATAATAAAGCCGTCTCGTCTATTGTAATAGGAAGGCACCGAAGACTTTAGCCTAATTTTTCTCAGACCATGGAGCCATGTTTAAGACTTTACTAGAAAAGTAACTACTACCCGGAAAGATAAACTGAGACTACTCTGCCCAACTTCAAACCATGAACATCTCTAGACAGGCAAACAGGAAAGCTAGCATGGCTGCCCCTAAGTTGTCTTCATCGCTGTCTCTCACTTTTCATACTCACAGTGCCAGTTGGACTCTCAAATATCCCAATCTTGCCAGCATCCAAAACCCGGTACAGCTCTGCCATGAAGTCTTTCTGGATGGAATAGGGCGTGAAGGGAAAAGGAAAATGGATGCCACCAGCCTTCTGTGTTTCATTAGCCATGGACCTAGGAAAAATAAATAAAATATGGTAGCTCTCTCACAATCCAGGAAGAGGCTTGAAATCTGGAGCAGTAACTAAGAGCAGTCTTTACACTTTTTACCACATTTTTCCTTGGTTGTATATTTTTCTTGGAAGCGAGACCATATTGTCTCCATCCCTCGCAGGTCCACATGGGGCCATACCAGAATCATGCAATCCATGTAGCGACATTTAATGGCTCTAACAGAATGCAGACCAGGAAAGCCCCTAAAATGAATCTCCCCTGCCATTTCACTGCCATTTCTAATGCCTCTGCAAAAGGCTTAGAGCTCTCTTCTCAAAGACATGCACCCCTAGGATCAAGGGTGTTGCTTACAATTACTTTTGCAGCTTTCTTCTCCCAATGCACATTCACAAGCCAAAGCTACTTCACTTTAGCCCATTGTGAAGACCTGGAAAACCATGATGCACAGGCAGAGAATTACGAGCACAGCTTGTTTGGATGGCGCAAGTTAACACACACGTCCCTATCTCACAGGTATCTTTTGTTTGCTTCTTAGTTAATACTAGCCTCCACTTCCAGATTCAACCAGAGCCACCTCCTAATAATTTTTCTGGCCTCAAGACATATGAGCTTTCTGTTTGGCTCCAGAGAGGAGAGCTCTCTTCACAGCCACAGGCCTCTGGCTGGAATGGCTTCCCAGTATTGAGACCAAGCATTTCTCTTTCCTTGCTAGGCTAAAGTCTAAGAAAAACTGCTTCGTGTTGACATCGTCTTTTTTTTTTTCCTCTTCTGAACCTAATGATGTCTGAGATAGTGTTTCCTCTCCTTTCTTCCTTGAATCACCATCTGGAGCCCTGACTCTTCCATCCTGGTTCCCACACCTCTCTCTTTGGAAGTCACTTCTCCAAGCTATTTGATAGGTTTGTCTCTTCTAAGCACAAACGTTAATAAGTCCAAAACCCATTTTTATTGACATTAGTAGACTGAGAGCCCATCTTTATAACTTTGGCCTCAATCAGACTAGTGATAGTGTCACTGTATTTACAAGGGGAAAGGCAGTTGTCATGATGCTCTCCTAGTTATAGTTTACGGGCAATTAAAATGACTGCACATTGGTGGTAGTTTACGGATTTGCACAAGAAGAGAGAACTCACAGAACTAGCATTATTTTACATGTCTTTACAGAGGTGTATTTGGCTGTTTTGTTAGACATTCTAGGGATAAGAGAAAATGAAATAAGAAAAACATGACTACAGAGGTAGAGGAATTGTTACAAGAAGGGTAATTTAAAAACACTATGACAATTCAATCCTGAGAGGGAGGCATGTACTGAAAAAGCTTTAACACATGAAGGAAAGGGGAAGAAAGGTACCTAACAAATTCCGAACACCTACTACTATTCCGAACCCTACAGGGTCTTTTGCTTTTATTATGTTGTTAAAAACAAATAGTTCTTCATCAAAGGGTTTTGGTTTCTAGTTGCCAGTTCTTTGTTCTATTCTAAAAAGCAATCTTACCTATTCATCTATCAGCCTTCCTTACCTCTGCTGTGACTAAACACACCTAAGCATTTCTTATCACTTATGTACCTGTCCTTCCTGCAAAAGTCCACCTTTGCCTTCTTCAATGATGTCAACAATAGCCAATCGGAATTAGCCTACATTGTGCAGTCTGACCTCAGCCTACAGCGGGAGGAGACAGGAACAAGATCTGCATTAAAGAGAAAAACTCCTGCCTTCCTTTGTTCTGAGTGCTCTCCCTTGCCTCTGCCTTGTGTGCAAGAAGAGCTCTTCTGCAGAAGAAAATTGCCTTGCTAAGAACACTTTTGCCTGAGTGTTAGTTACACTTTGCAGCACCGAGCACTTTTACTTCCAACAATTATCTCATTTAATCTGTACAACACTGTAAGGATACAGCTATTGGATACTGATGCTTATAGAAATTAAATAATTGCTCAAAGTCAGAGCTAAAAAGTGAAAAACCAGGGATTCCAATCCAGATCCAAATGACTGTGCTTCAGTGAAGCCCATCCGGTTGCAAGTGGTCACCAGCACAAGTAAAGGGAGGTTCACAAACTAAGAGTAAGAATTGAGACTATCTGGGAAAGCCAAAAACAGAAGCAGGCTAGAGCTGCAAGGTAGCTCAGACTTCAAGACAGCTCCAGGAACGACAGCAGCAAATAAACACCCACGGGGTTCACTCTCCTGCTCAGCCAGGTGCCAGACACAGCCGCAATCTCACTCCCTCAGCGCACTTGGTTTCTGCTTACCCCAAACTTTCGCTTGCACGTGGCCTCATCAGCCCCTGGATCTTTCAGCTTCAGCTCCCACTGCCAAATAAAAAGTCTTCGTGTCTCCTCATTCTGAATCACAAGAGAAAAGCTGACCAGCAGCTCCTCTCCATACAGAGCACTGGTCAGCCTGAGACTGGTCAGGCTCCCAACCTCATCTACTCAGCTCGGGCCTTGCACTTGCTGCTCCCGCTGGCCTGGGAAAGAAGGAGTCCTCAATAACCAGGCCCCAGCTCACCTCCTCAAAGAAGCCTCTCTGGCTATCTGGCCACTGGATAGTGGTCAAACACCACCCCCATCCCTCATCCTCTAGCTTGCTCTAAGTCACTTTTTAAAAATCACATTACTCTGTATTTAATTTATTCATAGCTCTTAGCACCATCTGAACCTATTTAGTCTTCCTCACTGGAATATAAATGCCATAAATGGTGAAACCTTGTCTGTTTTGTTCTTCTCTGGCTCCAGGATTCAGAACTAGGTGCTTCAACACCTCATAGGCATTCAACAAAAATCTGATTAACGAATGAGTAGCCAGTCAGACACGGGGGCTCTAAGTAAAGGTTTCTGTTCCGAGGCTGGGTAAAGAAGGTTCCATGTCTTGAATACCTATCTAGTTAAAGGGCCAGTTCTTAAATGGTTTCAAACCGTTTTCCCACAACCCTGCAACAACCCTGTGTGGCCTGTATTTTATTAGCTCTATTTTATAAAGAAAGAAACTGAGACTCAGTAAACTTAAGGGACTTGCCCAAAGGTCACTCAGCAAGTGCTTGAACCCAGGATCTGAACATCTGCCAGACCCCCAAGCCACCTGTAACTCTGTAGTTCCTCACTTTCCCTCCCGCCAGGGTAAGTGGGATAAAAATCAGGCTTGGTTACCAAACTCTAGAATGACAACACTAAACAATATGGAAGAAAAATATTATTTCACTTCCCTGACAGTGGTAATTATGGATCTCGTTATTCCAGGAGCAGTACAGACTAAATCACAGAGGTTTAGATAAATCTGAGAATAACGGATTCGCTAAGCCCTATTAAAAACATGTGCAGTGACTTGTTCAGCCCTCTTCAGGTTGGCTGTGTAGCGGACAACTTCCACACAGGCACACACCAGGACAGCAAATCTCATGCTTATAAAACCAGGTAAGAGTTGTGAAAGCACTTCAGGAACCTATTAGTTCTCAAAGTGTTCATTTTCTTCAGCCCCCAATTATCACTCATTACTGAGTACAGACTATTGCTACAGGCTCAATTGTGTCCTCCCCACATGGATTTTAGACGTCCCAAGCCTCCGGGGCTGTGAGAAAACACATTTCTGTGTTTAAGCCACCCAGTTTATGGTATTTTGTTATGGCAGCCAGAGCTGCCAAAACAACTATGGCCCTAAAATGCTTTAACTTCACACACCTAGAAAGCACCACAGCCCCAAGAAAAAAGCTTTTCTGCCCTGCTTTTAAGCCAGGACCACACGCTGCAGTGCTGCGATGCTCCACTAGCTGGAGGAGGGCCTAGCCCATAATTTCCACATTCCCACCTTGCTCTGGCCCAGGTCTCCCCTCCCATCTGCATCCTGAGCTCGCGCCCTGCGTGAAACCCAACCAGCTGCTTATTAACATTCAAGTCCACTTTTATGACACTTCCGTCAACAATCTGGTCAACCGCACTCATCCCTGGCCTCTATAATGGACCTTGCTCCTCCCTCCTCGATTCCCGCCCTAGGGGAAGCTAGAACCATGTTGGCCTTAACTTTATCGGCTCTGGGCTCGGATAGCCAAGTTTGGGATCCCAGCTGTATCCTCGCTTAAGTTAGTATCTCTGGGGCTCAGTTTCCGCATTCCTAAGAGAGAGGTGGGTCAGAGTGCTCACTCACTGTTGCAATGTCTTATCTAAACAAGATAATCGATGAAAACTTCACCACAGCTGGGTCAAATGTAAGACTCCGACGCACAGCGGCTTTTAAGGCCGACTCCAGAACACTACCCAGTTCCACCGCAGAAACCACCTTCGTGGGCCAGTCCCGTCTCCGCATTGGGGTTCCCGCCTGTCAATCACGCTGGCCCCGCCCTCCACTTCCGGGTCCTTTTCCCGCTCTGGACTGGCCACACGCCTTTGCATACAAGGGTCCCGCGCTGGGGCAGACTCCTAATTTGCTATTTCACCAGAGTCCGCCCTTCCTCATCCCGCTGCTCCTGGTCCCCGGCCCTACCGCCACGCAGCACTGCACTCACCTTCGCCGGCAGAATTGCTTCGCTGAAGCCAGGTCCCGGGAATCAGGGCAAACACGGCTGAATTTGAAACTGGCGGCTCTGCTCAGTGAACACGAGCCGGAACCACCCCCGCCGCTGCGCACGCGCACTCTGGACCGCTCCTGAGCAAGAAGGCGCAGGAATCTGGAGGGGCGTGGCTTGCGCTCTCTCCGCGCCTTTGCGCTTGTGCAGCGGCCTCAAGGGTGGAGAGTTTTTGGCGCTAGAGGTTCTGGGTCTGACGGGTGACTGGTGGCTGTGCTCAGGAACTTGGACCTCAACCCCAGGGCTCGGTGCCTTGTCCCGCTGCTTTCCGCCAACTGCGGGTTGTGTGATTAATCCCCGCCGATTAGCGCCAGGTGTACGAAGCGCTTGACGGTTGTAACTCCCAGGGACGTGCGCTGTCCCGGTGACGGGAAACCTGTCCTCTGGTTCCGGCTCTAGTCGGCCTCTGGAGGTCTGCAGCTCGGTTATTTTACCTCTGAAACGGACGACACCTGCCCTGCTCACCCCAGCGGCTCTTCCACGCGGAGAAATGGTGTCAGTGAAAGGCCGTCTAGATGACGAGTTTATGAAATCGTTTCTGCCCCGTGCCAGGCACATCCTTGTAGAGAGCCCAGAAGACGAAACCCCAGCCCTGCCAGCAGCTCACCTTGCTAATTAGGAGGACAAAGCATGACCTCGCCTCCCTGGGCTTTGCTTCTCCTTTTTTCAGTGAGGGATTGGACTAACTGGTTCTTAAGAACTTTTCGGAAAGTCTGGTTCTGGGAGATGATCAATGGGAGCATCTTATGCTAGAAGCTTTCCCTGAATGACAGGTAACTGGTGCGCCTTCCCAGCAGGGTCAGGGAGAGTTACCGGGACTTGAAGGAAAGGCTTTGGGGGAGAGGAGCCAGTCCCTTTAAAAAATGTATCTTCTTCTTTCCCCAATACCTGGCCTTTTCCCTTTAAATATTGGGGTCCCAAGACCCTCTTTAGAAAAAGCATGAAACACAATGTTTCCTGCGGATCTGTGTTCTTTCCTGGGCATGTCCTCAACCTCAGCACATAAACCTACTGAAAAGTGATCAGGACTCACCTTGGTCATTTTTCTTTGGTTTACATTTTCTAAGCTACAGACCTGTGCAGCATGTGACTATAGTGAATACTGCAGATAACTGCAACATGATGGTACTTGTGTCTCTAAAGGTCTCAACACAGAAAAGCGACAGTAAATATATGGTTTGAAAGATAAAAGTGGTATACCTCTAAAGGGCACCGTAGCATTATAGTATTTGTCTCTGTCCAAGGTTCCTGGCTCATAACTTCTATAGCCCTCATTATAGTCTTGTTATAGTGCTGGGACACTTTAGGCTCAGAAAAAAAGACTCTCTTTCGTTGACTTTCTCCTGCTCTTCTTTCACCTGCCCAAGGCAGGACTCTCATTTGATTGCGCATCATGAGATTTTCATTCCAGAGAGGTTCCTGCCCCATCCTCAGGAGGAGGGAATGCTGCACAGAGAGACCAAGAAGAATCTGGATAGGCCTTGCTGGGTTTCCCCGTCTCAGTCAACTAGTGTTAGATCATCCCTTCTGGTCCAGTTGCATTTGTATATGGTTGTCAATCATGCCTACCCAATGATGACGTCCACTGAAGGCTCAAAAGGATAGGGCTCAGAGAGCTTCTGGAAAGCTGAACACGTGGAGGCTGATAGGAGACTGACAAAACTCATCCCGGGGCCAGGATGGTGGCACACCCCAACCCCACAGAAGACCCTGGGCTAGGGACCCCTCCAGACTCACCCTATGTATCTCCTCATCTAGCTGTTTGTTTGTATCACATAAAATACCGTTTGTAAGAAACCAGTAAACAGGTGTTTCCCTGAGTTATGTGAGCACTTTAGCAAATTAATCAAACCCAAAGAAGGGTTTACTCACTGCTAGCACCACTTGAAGCTGGTCGGTCAGATGTTCTGGAGGCCTGGACTTGCTATCGTGGGAAGGAGAGGAGTCTTAGAGACTAAGCCCACAAGTTGTGGGATCTGATGCTATCTCCAGGCAGACAGTGTCAAAATTGAACTGGAGGACACCTAGCTGATGTCCCCTCCAAAACTGCTTGCTTGCTTGGTGTGTGGGGAGAAATTCCCCTCTATGTGGTCATAGAAGTCTTCCATGTTGATGGTGGTTGTGCTTTGACAGCAGAGGAAAAACACATTTGCCTTGGTTTTTCCACACACAGGCACTTACCATGAATGGAGCTTGAAGGACTGGAAGTTGCTCTGGGTGAGTCAGGGAGTGACTGTTGCGTGCATGTGAAAGCCTAGGACATTAATGCATACTACTGTGGACTTTATAATAAACAGTGGACACTTAGACTACATTAAATGTGTTAAAATATTGTTTTCTTCAATAAATTAACCTTAGTTTTCGTGCCTTTTTCACTTTATAAGACTTTAAATTTTTTAAACTTTTTGACTCGTAATAACAATTAAAAACACAGTTGTACAGCTTATTATATAAGCTTTTTTCTATTAAAAAACTTTGTTTTAGTTTTTAAATTTTTCTCTTAAAAATTAGGACACACACATTAGTTCAGGCCTACACAGGGTAAGGATTATCAATATCACTGTCTTCCACATGTTGTCCCATTGGAAGATCTTCAGAGGCAATAACTTGCATGAAGCTGCCACGACTTAGGATAACAATGTTTTCTTCTGGGATACCTCCCGAAGGATCTTGCCTGAATCTGCTTTTTAGTAAGCTTTGTTTTTAGAAAGCAGAGGCTGGGCATGTGGCTTATACCTGTAGTATCTATACTTTGGGAGGACAAGGCAAAAGGATCACAATAGCCAGGAGTTTAAGACCAGCTTAGACAACAGAGCAAGAACCTACCTCTACAAAAAAATAAAAATAATTAATTGGGTATAATGGTACATCTGTTGTCCAACTACTTGCTAGGCTGAGGTGAGAGGATGGCATGAGTCCACGAGTTCAGCACTTTAGTGAGCTATGATTGTGCCACTGCAGTCCAGCCTGGGCAACAGAATGAGACTCTGTCTCGAAAACAAAACAAAACTAGAAAGAGTACACTCTAAAATAGCAATAAAGGTATTGTAAACCAGTAACAGTCATTTATAAGTATCGTGTACTGTGTGTAACTGTCCAAGCTATATTCTTACACACTGTCAGCTCAGGTTTCTTTACACCAGGACCACCACAGACATGTGTTTTTGTTGTTTTCCAGGGGCGATCAAATCCATGTATCCAGCTTTTACCACCTTCCTGAGTTCTAGTCCCCCATTTTCAAGCACCACTGAGAATTTAGTTTGACTAAGTATTTCAACCTATATTATGTGAAGAAACAATAGTTCCCACACCCATTATGGTGTGGCTTAATGAGCTAAAGTATATGGAGATAGACATCATAATCTAAGAAACTAGGGTTGAGAGAAGCAAATATTATTAAGGTATATCTTGTACTTTTCCAGAGTGAGGCATGTGGGTCTTGGGGACAGGAATAATCTGGTCTCTAATGATGTTTTCTCTTATAGCACAGGCACATTTTATGAACTTTTCCCAATACCTAGGTGCTACAGTTTGGATGTGGTTTGTTAGGCCCCACTAAGTCTCATGTTGAAATCTGATTTCCAGTGTTGGAGGTGACATCTGGTGGGTGATGTTTGGACCGTGGGGGTACATGCCTTATGAAGGGCTTGCTGCCATTATGGCAGGAGTGACTGAGTTCTCACTGTTAGTTCCCTCAAGAATTGCTTGTTGAAAATAAACTTTTACCTCCTACATGCTCTCTTTCCAAAAGAGGATCTAAGGAAATTTATTATAAAAGCAGAGGAATGCTGAAACCAAACCCAATTCATATTGGTAATAGCTACCATTGGTTAAGCTTCCACAATGACATGTAAGGTGCTAAGGCCTTTGTTACCAGGATTATCTCATTTATCTCATAAGAATTCTAGAGCATAAGAATTCTAAAGGTCCTATTATTCTCTTTATTTTATTAATGAGAAAAGCAGAGACTCAGAAGGCTTAAGTTATACGCCAAGGTCATTCAGCTAGTTGAATGGTGGAATGGGGAATGTGGATGTCCGCAGTCAGACTTTATTAGAACATATACTTAAAACCAGCAAGAAGGAATGAGAACAAAAGAATTTTAAATGCTGGCCAAAGAAAACTAAAACAATGTACAATATTTAGCTCTGAGATCACTAGCAGTGAAGACAAAGAAGAATGCATAATGGGTTTCTATAGCTCTCACTATCCAGTTATAGAAAACATATCTATATTAGTACAAGAACTTTTCTTCCTAGCCCTGAGTTTTGAGGGGAATTTATGAAGAAGGTCTTTGAGGTCATTCAATCAATGGCATCATCTAAGGCTGTTTAATAATAAATGCAGATGTAGTCCACATAAGAAACTTTTGCCTTGACCTTTGAGACAAAGCCAGGGGTCTCATGTTAGGAGTACAGCTCTCTAAATCTAAGCCTCCAGGGCAGAAGTGAGGGGAGAATGGAGGGACACAATCCAGATTACAGTCTGGAGGGAACGGCCTTTGTCCTCTCCATGTCTGTTGCCACTCTTGAGGTCCAAGCCCTTACTGCATTGTCTGGTTTACTGCACAGCCCAACTTGGCAGCTTGCTTCTGGTCTCTCCCCGCCAAACCATCCTTCACACTGCTTCCTGATTAATATTTCCAAGACATTGCATTTACAAATCCACTCCTCTGTTTAAAAATGTTTCAGTGACTTGTAACTTGTCTACAGCATGAAATCTAAGTTTATTAGAAGTCTGACTTTATTAGACCCAGACCTCGACTGAATTCATGTGCTGTCACTTTCTATTCCTCCATTGGTGCTGCTTAAACTGGACAATTCGTCCCCTGGGAGTGTGTGGGGAACAGGGTTTGAAGCAATAGGGTAAAAAACGTAGCGTACCTTCTATTCTAGCGGTGTCAATTTACCAGACAACCATAATTTTAAAACACTGTTTTTATGAGAAAACAAACACAGATGTTATAGGGTGCAATGCAACATTTTTATGGGTCTGTGAGCCATTTGTACATCTTTGGAGAAATGTCGATTTATGTACTCTGTCCATTAATTCTAAACTTAAAACTAAGAGTTCAAACACCCTCTAAGGATTTTGCTGGTCCACATCCCAAGATCCTGAAGGGTATTACTTCCTCGCCCTCTCTAAACTGCCCGAGTTGGAAGCAGGTGACAGAAAAACTGATCTGGAATCATCTTTTGTAAATTCCCAACTCCAAACTTTCGACAGCTTGTATGTAGGTAAATAAAAGGCAAGCAGTTGCATTCTTTTGAGTCTTTGATTGGCCTTCACATATGAGAGGGGAGGGGAACAGTCACTTAAGCATTCATCTAGCTCAGTGAATCTTCATTTTTACATAAGATTACAAACATTATTTTTTTTCTTTAAATAAATAAATAAACAAATGATCAGCAAAAATAAATAAATAAAATAAAACAACACACACCGTTCCTCCTATCCCCCATCTGCTCCTTGGCTTGAGAGGTGGGAGCATGTAAAAAAAATAAATAAATAAAAGAAAATATTTGTTACAACTCCACAATACATGTTCTCAACAGCTGCTTGCTGCTTCCTATAATCACACTAAAAGTAAACAATAAGATGAAACATAAATATCATCTTTGTAGATATAAGATGAAGTTGAATTGGCTGAAACATGGATGAAACTGGAAATCAAACTTCCCCAGTCTAATTCGGTTTATTCCCCTTTGCTGCCCAGAAATCAAGGTAGAACATTATAAACAACAAACAACTATATATTATATATTAAAAAAGAAGAGATTACAAACAGGGCAGGGGAAGCAATCAGATACGCATTTGTCTCAGGTGAAAAGAGAGATGACTTCTGTCTCTTGTTCCACGCCTGTGAAGATAAGCCATCAGTGTACATGATCAGGGTGAAATTCAACAGAACTGTTTAGGGTAGACATCTTGGGGGCCCATAAAGAATTTTCTTAGGTTTTCTTTAATGTTATTGAATCACTGTTGGCACTCCACAGCCCAATACAAAGATTCTGACTCTGACTTTTGAAATGCCTCAGATAAGCGCTTTACTGTAAGACCAAAATTAGGGATCAGATGGGACAAAAGCCAGCCATACCTAAGAATCTTTTCAGTTGACTGATTTTTGAGAGCCTTCATAGTTGCTATTGCTTGTTACCTGTCAGGCATCAGACTCTGTCTACCTTATTGCAGGCAAACCCCTGCCCTTTGCATATTTGCAAAGAGATACTTTATGTTCCGATTCCACCAGGCTGTTTTAAACTAGTACTGGCTGGGTGTGGTGGCTCACACCTGTAATCCACACACTTTGGGAGGCCACAGTTGAAGGATCGCTTGAGCACAAAAGTTCAAGACCAGCCTGGACAACATTGTGAGACTCCATCTCTACAACAAATTTTTAAAATTAGCCATGTGCAGTGGTACACATACACAGTCCCAGCTACTTGGGAGGCTAAGGTGGGAAGCTTGCTTGAGCCTAGGAGGGCAAGGCTGCAGTGACCCATGATCACACCACTACACCCTAGCATGGGTGGCAGAGTGAGACCCTGTCTCAAAAAACTGGTATACAGGGTCTTCAGAAGTGGGGCTAGCAATGAGCAAATTATCCATGCATTGTAATAGTATTCCCTGTTTAATTGCAAGTTTCTTAAATATTTTAGTAAGTTTTTTTTCAAAAATGGTAGATGAATATTTAAATCTTTGGAGCAGTACAGTCTAGCTGTTTTGGAAGTTTGCCCTAGTCTCCAAATCTTGCCATTCAAGTACAAAAACAACTGGGCTTTCTCCTCAATTAGTAGCCACAGAACAAAAGCATCTTTTAATTTCTATGCTGAGAACGAGCCATAATCCCATGCAATAACTGTACAGAGGGTATATGGCTTAGCCGCTATTGGATGGGTATCTTGAACAATATTATTAATAGCTCTCAAATTTGCACAAATTGATACCAATTGGAGTTTGGTTTCTTCACTGCAAGATAGAGATATTGTATTGAGACTGTAATGATTGAATAAGTCTGTGCGTTAGAAACCTGTGTAATCCCCCTGTATGCCTTCTAATTCTTTAGCTTTTAAGCAGTGTTGTTTTTGTGAGGAATGGTTGCTTCTTTTTTAAATTCAGTGTGCACAGGCTGAGCTTTGACTGCTAGTTCAAGTTCCCTGTCTTCCCAAACAGTGCTACTCACTCGGTTGTAGGCTTCCAGCAGGAATGGTTCTTGA